CGATTTTTTTTGTCCCAGTCCAGCCCTGTATGCAGCTCATCTGCAGTCTGGAGTTACCTACATCTTCCTACTCGGAAGGCAGAGTTCCGAGTACAATTGAAAGCACCACGACTGCAGTTTCCGTGTTTGGAAAAAGTGCACGTGACGCTGTGACGTAGGCTAGAATCATGCCAGCAGTCGACGACGGTCCAGGAGTGGGATTTCACTTATGGAAATACGCGCATTATTTTTTCCTTTCTGTTGTTGGGTGGCACAGTGCACTTGCGGTAGGATAGTGCTAACATGTAGGCAAGCTAGAAGACTGGCATCCTTGCTGGGTATCGAGTTAGGGAAGCAACACATTAACAAGATAATTCTGAGTAAAACCAAAGTTACTTTCCCTAGTAACTAGTTACTTTGAAAGTAACAAGTAACTTGAAGTAACTGAGTTACTTTTGATAGAAGTAATTAGTAATGTTGCTAAGTTACTAATTTAAAGTAACTTACCCAACACTGTTGGTTACACAGGCCAGTCAAGTCATTAATATCTTAATGGACCTCGTGCACTGGTGTGCAGCCATGTTGGAACAGGAATGGGCCATCCCCAAACTGTTCCCACAAAGTTGGGAGAATGAAATTGTCCCAAATGTTCTGGTCCGCTGAAGCATTAAGAATTCCTTACAACACCTGAAGAACAACCCTACACCACAATGTGCATTTTTGAGTCTGCCTGACTTTATGAAAACATTAAGAGCTTCTACCACCTACTAACATAGGTTTCTGTGCGAATCTTTCTTTTTATACCCGTTTTGGTTAATAACTTTTGTTTTCATCTATATTTATTTATGTTAAGATGGATGGTGAAGAAAAAAACAGGTAAAAATCTTTTACCCTTACTTTGAGTTCTAGAGTACACAATGAGAAACACAAATAACAACTATCATGCAAGCATAACATTTGATTACCGTTAAAAAGCAAATCAACAATTTTGTATTTATGTGTTGATTTAATAAACAGTGTAGCCGGAAACTATTCACATCGCTTGTTCCACAATCTGTCATGTTACAGCCTCATCTCAAAATGGATTTAACTCCTGTTTCACACACAGCACCTCATAATGACAAAGCAAAAAGGTTTGCATGAAATGTTTGCAAATTTATTTAAAAAAGAAAACTTGTATAAGCATTCAGGCCATGGCAAGGCAAGGCAAATTTATTTCTATAGCACAATTCAACAACAAGGTGATTCAAAGTGCTTTACAGAGACATTAGAAACAAAAACAAATAAAAAGCATGATTTAAAATTGATTAAAACAAGCAAACAAAC